ATGTGACACAGTAGAGGACACAGTCCCTTGTGTGTCACGTGGGTGTTCAAAGCCGTGCCCCGCTGCTGCTCACAAGGCATTCTCACCTCTTCTGGCCCAGAAAGAACATTGGCGTAGAGATGCCTTGGGCTGCCTTTTGAGCTTCTGTAGTCGCTTTAACGTGTTTCCTCGGGTGGTGTTTGAAGCTTGCTGAGGATGCTGCCCTCACGCTGCACAAGGAAGGGATTTATTTCAGCCCTTTGCTTGCATCTTTCAGGAGGAAATTGCTGGGAGTTTACAAAGAAACGCCGACACAGTCCTTCCTTTTGGAAAAATTTCAGCTCCTGGTGGAGGTGTCTGTGTGTCGAGCAGAGTCCTTGAAGGGTTGGGCGGAGGGTGCTGGAGCCTCTCCACGCTGTAGCTCGAGGGCTCTGATTTTGGGCAGTGCTGGGCTGGCAGGGCGCCGAGCGCAGGGAGGCTCCCTGGGTGCTGGTATCTCCTGCAGATCTGGGATCTGCTCAAGTGTGTCTGCCCCGACGCCAGCCCGCGCTCGGGTCTGCTCTTGGCTGCTCTGATGGTTTGTGTGTCTGTGTGTGTGCCTGCCCTGCGATCCCTTGGCCTGTTTAAGTGTCGGGAGGTTTAACTGTGGGATTGGTTTCACCCCCAGTTCAGCATTGGGGAACAAGATAAGGGGAGCTGGCTCGGGAAGCAGAGAGATTTCAAGCCGTGTCTCTGAAGTGAGAGAGGAAAGCTCAACTTCTGCGTGTCTCATTATGCTGTATTCCCCTTTTCTTCTCCTGAAAAAGCCCCCAAAAGCCATGCAAGGAAGCGCCAGCCATGTCTCACCCTGTAAGCTCCCCATGACAGCCCTGGAGAGGGAGGATACCCCAACTTGGCTCTGCTTTGTGGGACACAACCTCCCTTCCCTCCCCTTTCGGGGGGCTGTGGGGTGCCTTGAGCCAGGGGCTGGCATCCCCCCTGGCCATGGTGGAGGCCCCCGGACCCTGCCGGATGTCAGGGAGCCAGACGGGCTGCCCCGGCCGTCGCAGCTGAGCTCCCGCCCCGAACAATGGGGCCATTGAGGGGCTGGAGCTGGGGGTGAGGCCCGGCCGGGCTGTGGGCTGCGGACAGGGAGGACAGCTGAGCCCGCTTGTTCCACCGCAGCCGAGCTACAGCCCAAAATAGGCACCTGGTGGCCATTTGGAGGCTGGGCCTCTTTGTCCAGAGGCCACGGCTTGTTTGCGCGTGGGGATTTTGTGGAGTATTTATGGCTTGGAGAGGGGGAAGGAAGGAGGGAGCTTGGCAGTTGTGTGACCTTATTTTTATTTGTTTTTTGGTGTTAAAAAGGCAGGACTGCTGGTATTTTTGTCCCCACCTCACACCTTCCCGTAGGTGCTTAGGCTTCCTTGCAAGCCAGGCACCTCTGTCCCGGTGCAAGGGCAAGAGGGTCATTCTGCTGACTGCCGTGATGACTGGGCAATGGGGACAAGGGACAGAGAGGAGAAGAACCTCATGGTGAGGTCGTAGTGCTCCCAAAAGCCCTCGACCATAGCGGGTAAGAGGGATGAGAGATGCCATCAACAGCTGGTGAAGCCACTAACGTGTTTGCCCATCTTCATGTGCCGTCCCAGGTTCCTCTGTGGCTGCCAGAGCCACCTCCTGCCCCATGGAGTGCACGTGGGTGTCTGCAGAGAGCAATTCCCCGTCCTTCCTTGCCAGACCCCCTCTGATCCTCTTTCATGTCACTGAAATGTACTCTGCCTGGCTCTCATAGACACTGAGCATCTGCTGTGCCCAGTGACTCTGAAAATTGTACCTCTTTGTACCCATGCATGGATTTAAGGGCTCGACGTGAGATGTCTGAAGAGGTGGTTGTGGTTTGAGCCCGCTTTGGGTTGTGCTGCTGAAAGCAGGGGTTATGTCTGAGTTGGGAAGGGTGTAAAATTAATGCAATGTTTGGATCAGCTCATTAACTAACTGTGCTGGTCCAAATCTTGCCCTTGGAGGCATGTGTGCTGCTGCCAGAGCCATCAACATAAAGCCTCTCCCCAGCGCAGCCGAGGATAGGATTTGGCCTGTTTATATTCACGGTGCAAAAAGAACCGAAGGATTAATGGCTGATTACTTCTTGGGCCAGCGGGAGCCCTGGGTACCCATCCAGTCTGCAGATAAAATGCAGGGCAGACCAAGACAAAGCTTTGCAACAGAATCCTCCCAATTACCTCACCGATCTCCCCGCGCGCCGTAAAATGCACCGTCAGCTCTGCAGCCAGCTCTGAGCCCGGAGATGAAACGCTCCCAACACTGCTCTGAGCTGCTCTCTGAGGCTCTGTGAGAAAAGCCTCCATCGTTCCCCCTTTGCCTCATCCTCTCCCTGACCTGGGCATCGTTTGGGGGTGGTTGGCGGAGCCTTGGCTGGTCCCTACCTGCCTGTGCATGTGTCTGAGCATCCTATCGGCCCCCCCAGCGGAGCCTGCGCGTTGGATGCAGTTTCTATGGTTACTGCAGCTCCCGGGCCCGGGAAGAGCAGTTGGATGCTGGAGCTGGCAGGACCGACGTCTCCCTCTGGATCAGCCAGAAACTTGACAGGGAGTCGGGTGTGTGCAAGAGAGACAGAGAGGAGGAGAGAAGGAACCCAGGGAAAAAACCCTTGTGTCTTCTGGGTACAGGGGTTGCCCCCAACAGGCTGTCCTCCAAACAAGCTTCAACACAGGGAGGGTGGGGGAAAAAAATAAAAGGGATGATGAGAAAATTGCAGTTCTGGTGCTCACATGAAGGTGACATTTGTTGTAGCATCTCTAACCATCGATTCGGGGATCTAAACACATGGAAGTTTTAACTGCTGCCAGAGCCTGATTATTCTACCCACATTTGTTTTCTCCCAGCCCTTCTTTCCTCTTATTTAATTCTTTTAGGGCTTTTTATCCTGATATTTCCCTCCCTACACACACAGTTTTCCTTCCTGTATCTATATATTTCCCTCCTGCTGGTTAGGCTAGAAGTTCAAGGCATGTTTAGCCCTCACCACACGTGATGTTGGTGGCACTTGGGAATCAACGGGAGTTTTTTGGACAACCCTGCTCCACCATTTCACCAACCCTGCCCCAAATACTCATGGTGCCTACCAAACTGGATTCAAACTTGCAGGCTGCACTTGCAAAGCCCTTTCCAACTCGGCCACTTCACCTCCTCTGAACTGCTGGCAGACAGGGCAGAGCCTCCGAAACGCGTGTGCTGTTTTAGGCATCTCCATCCCTACTGTTATGGGCAGGGTGTGGGGACAGGAATGAAAATAATTAAGCCAAAGGCTTGGGCAATGAAGGGCTCTCGTCCTGACCTGCTTGGGAGGTAACTGGGAGCACAGGTCTCCCTGGGCTTCCCAGGTGAGGAAGGCTGCTCGCCCAGGGAGCTCTCGGTGAGGCCTGAGCCGGTCAGACTGGCTCTCCCATCTCCCCAGGGCAGCTCCAAACACTGGGGCTCTGTCAGGCGAGGGGTTGCAATAGGTTATGGCCATCCCTGACTCAGAGAGGAGAGGGCAGGCAGGCAGGGGAAGGGTTTGCAGAGTTCTGGCAGTTTCCAGGGCTGGCAAGCTGGAAAAAAAAACAACCCCTGTAATGCCAGGAAACTGCACCCTGCCCTGTGCACCAGGGCATTTGTAACTCTGGATGGAGAAAGGATGGAGCATGAGCTGAGCAGCTCTCCTGGGTTTGCATCGAGGACTCTTCCTGCCTCAAAGCAACACTGCCTGGCCCTGCCCACCTTGTGTGTGGGGCCAGCAGCTCCCAGGACTGCAGGGGTGGCAAGTCTCCTCCTCACTCAGGGCCAGCCCAGCTCCTTGCAGAGGGGAGAGGCAGCCGTGCCTGGGGAGACGTTGCATGACTCCTCCTGAGTGTGGCCTAATTTTGAGGGAGCCACTGCCCTTCCCTGACTGTCCAGCCCTTTCCCCTCACCTGTCCCACGCGCTCACATCGCCTCTCACATTCCTGCCCTATGCTGGGCTGAGACCTCACTCACCCAGGCAGAATATTCTGGACTGGTTGGATGGGCAGGTTCCCAGGTCTCAGGCAAGGTTAGGGATGCTTTTCCAGTGAGGTGGTTGCAGTTGGAAAGGCTCTTTCCTCCCTGTGTCTGAAGCTGGATGGGGACCAAGCACTTGTGGTCCTGAGCCTTTCTGTCTGGAGCCCTTGCAAAGCCTGAGCTGGATGCAGTGGGGCTCAGCTCCAGCTTGGGTTTTCCCCATCCCAATAAGGGATCTGAAGGTGATATCTGTGAGACCACTGGGCACTGTGCAAGAACCTCATGTCAACAGTCATCAGCTCACATACCAAAAGCCTTCAGCCACCTTCTGGAGCAAAATAATCTTTTTTTCTTAATTTACCATGATTTTCTTTGAGTTGTGGGAAAGCTGATGGAAGGAAAGGCAGAAATGAGATTCCACCTAATTGAGATTTGTCTCTTTTTTTCAAGGGTGAGAAGGCTGTTGATGTTGGGACGAATTGGTGGCAAAGGCTGCTGAGCAGAGAGGCTTAGGAGGTAGTGTGGTCCCATGGAGCAGAGTAACACCAAGAAAGGTGGAGTCATGTCTGGGGCTATAATATGACTGTGTTTCTGCAGGGGAAACACTGTGGATGTTCCCAAGGGGAGGTCACAGCATCGCTGGCAGCGCTGGATGCTTTGTTGGTACCAATGCTCTGCCTTGCTCCTCTGGGATCCTCTGGGAGGTGGTGAAGCAGAGCAAGAAGGAGCAATTTACCCTAGACCCTGCAGTGTAGACTCCCTGTCCTGCCTTTGCTGGGCTAGCGACAGATGCTGTGGCCCCATCAGCTGTGGAACCATTGCTGGTTCCTGCCAGCAATTCCCTGGCTGCTGCCACCACCGGAGATGTCGGTGGGAGGCAGAGAACAGGGTGTCTGCAGGCCCCCAGCTCTCTGAATCACCTGCTCAGCCCTTTGGTTGCCGGGACTTGCAGCTGCCTAAGCTGTGTTTACCCTTCCCCAATCCCTTTTCTCCCTTTTCCCCAGGCAGACTGAAGCCAGACAAGAAAGGGCAGATGCGTCTCCCCCTCGACAAGTCGCTGCAGGTGAGGCAGGAGCTGCTTGGCACGAACACCTGAGCCACCTGGCCCTGCTGCCGGGTTCACCATTCCGTGCGGGCAGGCAGGAGCAGCGCTGCAGCGGCGCTGGGCAGCTCGCCAGGGAATGCGTGGGAGCAGGGGCTGGGGGATGCTCCGGGGAGAGGGAACGGCCCCACCGAGGATCCTCTTCCCGCGGCTGCAGGCGTCGAGTCGGGACACTCCCAGTCTGGATCAGTGGCTCACGGGCGGCCTTTGGAAACGCGGCATCAGGCCCATAGTTTTCATATTTCCCCTCCTCCTGCCTTACTCCTCGCAGAAGGGAGCCTCTGGAGAACCGGGTCCGTCTGGGAGCAGGGGACAGCAGGGAATAGTGTTTTGCATCGCTGGGGCTGGGCAAGACAGGCCAGGTCTGCTCCTGGCCCAGTAGGTTGAATGGCTCGTGTCTCCTCAGCTGAGCTGGACCCAGACTGGTCCCTCTAAGAGGTGTGTCCTGGCTTGACGTTGAAACTGGCCTCCCCAGAGGGCATCACGTTCCCTGAACGGGATTACACCAGCAACCCATCCACGTGCTTTCTGTGGGTTTCAGTGCACCTGCCTGGGTGGCAGCAGGAGCAACCTCTTGGAGCTGGGTGCAGGAATCCATCTTCAGGAAAGCTGCCTGGAAAGTAGCCTGGTTTTCTGAAAGAACAAAAGCTTTGCTGAAAATAAGATTTTCCCTCCAATCTATTTTCCTTGTCATGAAGGAGCGACCGTGACTTCTGTTGAAGGAAACGAAACCTAGTTTTAGTTCCATGTTCTGAGAAATGTTTGAAATACAATGGAGAATGTCTCTGGATTGGTTTTGAGCCCAGGTAAAGGGCAAAAGCTCTTGACTGATTTATATTTCAAACCTCTCTCGCCCTACTCGTCTGCCTGGAGTTCCAAACCTCAAAGTGCCCAGTTCCAAAGAAGGGAGTATTTGGCACAGGGGCTCATTTGGATTAAATTCAAGGCTGTTCTTATCTGTTTCGGGCAAATGTCATTGGGATCCTTTTGGTGTCACTTTACTGTTCCCAAGTAGGTTCCTCGAGAAACAGTAGGAAGCTGAACATGTACATACATCTCTGAAGCACTCGGGTATTTCCAAGTGATGCAACTTCAGATTCCTTTCCCACCTCCCCCCCTTCCCCTTTGCTTCAAAGCCCTTTTTTTGGCCTCAAAGATCAGCTTGGGTTTGGGGTTTTTTTTGTTACTGTTTTAGACTTCTTGAAGCAGAGCCTTACCTGGGAGGAGGAGGTGGGCAGCCTGGACTGAGGGTGGTGGAGGCAGGGTGGCTGGGGAGATTCTGACCCTTTGGGGAGACCTTGTTCTAGCCTGTAGGTCCATCTGTAACTCTGGCCTGACTGTGAAGTCCTCCCATGGCCAGGATACATCAGTAGGTGAGAAATAACACTAGCTATTTGCATGCAAGCTAAACCCATGGATCAGGCTGTGTAATGTGCTGTTTCATGCGTGAGACCTGTTGCCTTTCCACAAGAAGAACTCCTGATCTGTGTGTTAAAACAACAATTTAAGTCATTTTCTGTTTGGATGCTCCCTAAAACATGGGGTTTGGCCATTGCTCACTGGAAGATCCTGGCTTTCTACATGGCCATCACTTGAAATTGTGTGTGTCAGTGTGACAGTGCAATGTGACTTCTATCTGCCCGGTGTGTGGATGCTCTGGTGCGAGGTTTTGTTTGCTGAGGCTTTCACACAGGCTGCTCTCCCCAAAACCTGCCCTGTCACTGAACATGTGCCAATAAACCAGCCTGGGGAGGGACCATTCCAGTTTCGCTCATCCTCCAGACCTGTAACCAGCTGGCAGCGATGTCAAACATGACTTGTCCCTGCAGACAAAGTCATGCTCAACATCACTGTAATTAATCTGATTCCTCGAGGTCGTGGTTCGAACACAACCTAATTGTCTTTGGGAGGCAACACCCTCTGGGTCACGCGGTGTCTCCTCGCAGGGGTAGGTACTGTGTGAAACCTGGGGAGCAGCTGAGCTCAGAGAGGGCTCCTGACCCTGAGTTCTCCCCCCCAGTGCTGAGGACTCCAAGTGAAGGGTTGGGAGCTGCAGGGGAGCCTTGGTTTTATGTGGGGACCTGCCTTTCTGCTGCCCACCTGCCTTTGCAGCTCAGTGTCCCCAGGAAGGAAAAATGGAGTGAAAACTTTTTTGCTGCTGGGAGAAGAGGCAAACAGCAAGGCTGTGTCCTGTGGTTTACTCCAGCAGGGAAGGAGAAATGTTTTCCCATCTACAAAAATCTTCTGAAAAAAAAAGAAAAATCCTGCCCTCCTGCTGCATAGGACAAACCCTTCTGAAATAACCTGTCAGAAATTTCCAGTGGGGCTCAGGCTTTCTGAGACCTTTTCGGGAATAACCAGAGACAGTGTCTCTAGCCTTTGTGGGCTAAGGGGACCCGCATTTCTCCCCCTTGATGCTCCATATGGGACTGACATGATTTGCTTGCCCTGAAGGCTCCATCCTTCACAGGACAGACTGTGGTGGACTTTTCCTAGGGTCCCACTGTTCCCCATGAAAGCTCTTGTTTTCATTGTGCTGTAACAAGGCCATTGGGGTCATGTTCCCACCAGCTCTGCCCTGTGAAGAGGCAAGTGTGGTGGAAGAGATGGGGAACTCCACTGTCTTGGTTCTCTATTTCCTCTGCTTGGAGACAGCTCAGTTTTTATTTCCTGAGCGGCTACAGTTCATCGCACGGCGCTTTGAGCCTTTGGACTGATTTTGCACACCAGGGTAGGGCCCCAACCTCACAGTTCCTCCTGCTGCCACACTCCTAAAACCCTCTGGGGGGAAGGAGTTTGGGCTCCCTATTTGCAGGGAACAAGAGTCCCGGTGGTGAGGCTGGGATGTGGAACAAGCCGAGCGTTTTGTTTCGTAGCTCCGTACATGGCAGCGTGGCTAAACGCGGAGGCAGATTTCAAGGCACGGTCGTTTAACTACACTGGGAACGTCTGATTCCAGGCATGCTTATTTCACAGATTTTAGTTGCACATTTCCTGGGCAACAGTTTTGCAAATGTAATTCTGCAGGTAGGCTTTGGGGGGCTGAGGGCAGCGGATGCAGCTGGGCGAACGCTCGCTAGCGAAGGAACACGAAAGCCTCTTCCCCCTGTGCCTTGTGGGTTTGGTGTTGTTTTGTTTTCCCCCTTCAAATGAACAGTTGGAAAACATCTGAGACCAATACTGGGATAGAGTGGGAGGAAAGGGAGGTTTTTAAAGTCCTGGTCAAGTTAATGGGAGCAGTTTCCTTTATGGATTATGAATTTGCTTTTGTAGCTTGGCTCTGGTTTCTTTGCAGGGAGCATGGTTTGGCTCCCACTGTCCTCAGCAGAAGCAAAGCTGGACCAAAGTGGCCCTTGGTGCAAGACAAACTTGGGATTCAGGTTTATCTTTCAAGGGGCCTGTTTTGTTGCCTGTTAGTGGGTCAAATTTTGTAGCTCTGACTCAGCCTGAACTTTCAGTGGCTTTTGCACCTGGAGATTTAAATATCTATCTGCAGGGGAGGTGAGCACCAAACAGCATCCCTGGCTGCAACTCCTTAAGACGTTACTTCCCCCTTTACCCCCTCCAGCTGTTTATTATTTCCCTCCTGCTGCTGCTTACCACCTCCACGGTGAGTCAGAAGAATGGGACATGAATGCTCCCACCTCAGCCGCTTCAGCACAAAGTCTGGCAGCGGCTTCCTTCCAGCTGCTGGGGAAAGGGGGTTTAGGCAGAGCTGCCAGCCTTTGCCCAGGAGCCTTGGAGGAGAGTGCGAGAGCTGTTCCACCGGCGCTGCGCCGGCAGCGGGAGCCTCCGGCACAAGGGAGCAGATGAACAAGCTGCCGGGGGTGGCAGCGGTGGTGATAACATCTGGACCCACCCGAGGAGAGCACATCTCCCGATGCTGTAAGTGCAGGGTTGGGACCTTTCGCCGCTGAGCAGCCTCTGCTCCCACTGAGTTCAGCAAGAGTTCGGGGTGCTCAGCCTCTCGCAGGAGCGGGGTCGTGCAAGCCGCTGGCACTGGGTTTGATAGGAGCTGCACCTGAGGGAGCGCGCTGGGACTGCTGCCTGCCGGGCTGGGCGAGTCCCTTTGGGATGGCTCCTGCCAAGTTCGCAGACAAAATGCAAGAGGGAGTCCACTGGAGCCAGCTGTTGACTGGAATGGAATAGTTTTAAAAAGAGAATTGCTGTAGAAGCCAGGAGTCCCAGGGGAGCTGGAGCCTCTCCCCACCTCCCTTTGCTGGCTGGCGGGGGGCTGCGAGCAAAGCACCCCCATCGCTCCGCGCAGGGCTCCGCGGTACAGGCAGCCTTGTTGCCTTGCCGCAGCCAGGGAGGCATCGCTGCTCTGTCAGCCCCCTCTTCCCTCCCTTTCATCCCTCTCCTCCTCCCGTGTCCCCCCGAGTCCCCCCTCCAGCCTCAACCCGACTTGAAAAATCTCAAGGCAAATCCTGCTAAATAGGGAGATTTCGCCCGGCTGCGTCCCTGCCCTCCCTGGTCTCTCGCTCCCTTTGCCGTTTCTGGCCTGCTGGGTTTTGTGTTTCAGTTGTTATAAATAAAGCTCCAGGCACTGATTTGGGTATACAATGACACCTTGTGTTATTAGACAGCACAGGACAGACTTTGCAAGGGGAGCCTGCTCGCCCGCCCTCCCTCTCCTCTGCTGCCTGCGGTCTGCGGGCAGCCTCCGCGGGCTCCGGGGCGGTGGCAGCAGGTGCTTCTGCCTCCCTGTCGCTGCCTAAAATCACAGCCCCCCAGGAAAAAAACCCACCCCAGAGGATCCTGGCCCCTGCTTGGACCGGGTTGGGTTTAAATATAGGCGGCGGTGGTGGAAATTTCTGCACTTAAAGAAGGGAGTGTGGCAGAGAGTGATGCGGACAGTCTGCGCTTCCCCAGTTTTGTGCCTCCAAAAAAGTGGGTGGGAAGTGTTTGCAGGGGTTAAGCCAGGGATGTCATTGTCACCCCTCACCTCAGCCCTGCTGGGG